CCCCGTGGTAAGGGTCGAATTTTAAATACCCTATATGCATTCTGTTTTCATTAAAGTCTAAGGTGTCACACAATTGAAATCTGAGTTGAGATGTTAAATATCAGTGAGGCTGACAAACGCTTGGTCCCTGTGGGTCAATGGAATGTTAATAGAAGTGGAATATCAGTGCGGAGGACAAATTCTTGGTCCCTGTGGTTTAATGGTCTAATGGAATGTTGTAAATGATGCGCTGTCAAGCGACTCACGGATTCAAGGTGCCTATCGTGCGACGCTCACCATAGGCACACTTGCAACTCACGATTACAAAGGTGTGACACCGAAGGGCCTAAGCAACCATACAAAGCTGGAGCTTGGACGATGTGTTTAGGGTCGCTAGCTAGTAGCTATATAAAATCTAGCGTCTCTGCCAGTTATCTGTATTCCACGCCATCTATATTCACATAGTTTCTCTAAGAGACTCTAACAAATGAAAAATATCCACGTACAGGGTGGTGCAAAATGAACGCTATTGTTTGGCTTTTTCACGCTTGTCTGGCCGCTAAATCAAACCAGGTAATGAAAATGAAATACTATTTACACCAGAGAGGCCTTTTTCAAGTACAATAGAAAATTCTGAAAAGATATTATATATGCTTATATTAGTATAATTAACAATTCTTACAATGTAAGCAGACAAACAAAATATATTGTCAGAATTGTCAATTGTACTTGAAAAAGGCCATCGTTGTGGCCGAAACGTCATCAGTAAACAGTGTTCTAAACAAATGCGGTTTACATTTAGCGACAAGATTAGATCTACCATTGTTCAGATCAAAATCTGGTGGTTTCTAATCGATACAGGGCATACTTCCTGGTATAAGTTGTTCTTCCAATGCCTCCTCCAAGCATTCGGTGATGTGAAATGCTGCTGTTGTAATACCCGTTTCACAGTCAGCAAGATGCAAGAGAAATCTTGATCAGACGTATGCGCACAATCGAAGCAGCTGATTCTTCCTGTCACTTTCTTGCAACTGCTAGGTCTTGTATAAAAATCAATCTGTTGGATTTTTTATGCAACTTTGCCTGTAATTCTGACAGTGAACCACTCAGTAAAACACAAGTTATTGATGCACGCAAATGTCCCTAGGGAGGTCAGGTACTTTGTGTGGTTATATTTAACTATTTTCAGATATATACGTTTGATTGTATTTTGATGTTGGATGGTGGGCGATTAAAACTAGAATATATTATTATATATTATCTAAAACCAAGTGTTCTAAAAAGTAAAAAACCAAAACCAAAGTAATAGGTAAGGGATGCGACAGAAGATATTTCATTCATTTAGGTTGAATAACCATGGGCATCTTGACAGAGGAACTTTGCAACTGCAAAACTCTGGGAGCTGGTGGTATGATGGTGATCTGATTTCACCCGAGACCATTTGCCTGGTCGGATTTAATTGGGCTTCAGCAGTGTGGATACTTTTAAGCCATATCAGCTACAGAGTACACGATTTCAAGGACAAACGATCTAGGCTTAGATCGATGAGAATGACACGAGTTAAAATGAAATGAAGGAGAGAAATCGAATTATTGTACATATCGCATGCCTGTCAAGGACCCAAGTACGTGAAGGGCTCAAACACCGGTTGTAGTTCCAGATTGGACAGCTATAAAGAATATAGGAAATTTACTATTAGTGTGAATTTCACGCCCTCTAGGTTTAAGTAAGATAGCTTGTTTAAAAAAAAAAATATAGTCGTCGGAGGAATGAAGAGATCTGAATGTGTCTATATATGTACTGCTAGCATCAATGATCAAACATAATATCATCAAGATCGTAAATAGCAGTAAACCAGCGTCGTAACTGGTTTCTCATTCTGCTCACCACATATGCTCAACATCTATGCAGTCTAATGAGTTTCTTTCATATGGAATGTGTAAAATACAGTGGTTTTCGAAAAGTCCCTCCCACCAAATTTTTTGAATGGGCCAAGTCACAGAGCTGCGACCTGAGGTGATGAAAGTGATGCATGCATACTATCTATTTTAACGTGAACATAACAGCTGATCATTTTAAAATAGCGCCTACGCGCTTTCCTGGGACATTATACCCGTATCGTCTTAAATAGAAGAGGGATCATACGGTACTTCATTTTGAAGATCCAGTACCAATAGCTTATATTTTTATAATGCAAATTTCTCATTCTCCAAAATGGTAGACTGGATCGTTAAAGTTGAGCATTTTTTATACATTGAATCGTGTATTACTTTAATATGGAACGTTCCCGTCTATAACAGGTTTTGACAAATTTTGTTTTATTACAAGAGGCGAATATTTCTACAACATACTAAAGCATTTGATCATTGGTTGACGAGTTTTAAGCGATTCAATGTACAAAGTGAGCATCTACTTTGATAGTCTGCAGAAATGGTATTTTGAAAGATAGTAAATTTATATCCTAACGCACGAACGTACTGACAGAGACACGGCTTTCCATAAAAATGCACCAGGATGGTCCCTAGCCACTATCTTAAGATTATTGACCGCCACTTTTACCCTATATAGTACCGATGCACAAAGCACTCGGCAATACGCTTATGGGAAATGGGGTTTCGGTAAATTTCGTTGATCCTTAATGTCCTGCACAAATGCCTTAATGGGAGTAGACCCCAAAACTCAACGGGTTTTTTATCTGCTCTACTTAGAAGGGCGGTTTTGGATAATACCTGGAGACCCGTTGAGTCTTGGGGTCTGCGCTCTGTGACATATTTGTTCAGGATGTCAAGACACATGAGGAATTCAGTCGTTTTCAGGCATTTTTTCACTACGCCAAACATACAACTTGTGAAGATTCAGCAAAATTAACCGAAATCGTACTTTCACATAATCAGATAGACGATAGACGAATAGGGGTAATACCCCATTATACTGACTTGGCCGGCCTATACCTTGGGATCCGTTGCGTTTTGGAGCTTGTGCCCAGTAAGGCATTTGTTCAGGTCGCCGAGACACATAACATGAATAATCCAGCGAGATTAACTGAAACCACTCTTCCATACAAAGCAGATAGTGGGACCGATACCCCGTTATAGTGAATTGGATTTGGGACCTGTTGGGAGTACTTAATAATTATATCAACGATGCACATATGTTACAAATTACAAATGGAGGTCTGTTCAGTTACCAATAAAAGATCACTATAGAAACATACATAATGAACAAAAGATCAAACATTTTCTGGATTTAGCAAGCAAAGCAAATTGGCTTGATATCTATATTAATGATGGTGATATAGAGAGTAGGTTTCAGTGATTTCTTAACGTATTCAAATATTACTTCGAGTTAGATTTACCTCTTAAAGAAAAACTTATAGCAACTAAAATCAAAAAAAGGAAAACTTTGGTTAGCAAACGGAGCGTTCGATATGGTGGACCTTGGCATAGTTTTAAATAGACTTTCTTATTATGGTTTCCATACATCAGCTTCAGCACTCATTCAAAGTTATCTTTATGAAGGGAAGCAATATGTTACCTCCAACGGCTTCAAATCGTACCAGTATGTAATTAAATACGGACTGCCTCAGGGCTCAAATCTTAGTCCTTTTTTGTTGAGCTTATTTACTGATACTGTGCAATATTTAAGTTGTGATAAGCTCGCGGATGATTAAAAAATATTCAGGCTTATTGAGTCTCAGGCTGATTGTATTGCACTTGATGATGCTTTAGTAGCTTGAAGAATAATTTATTTCTTCATGCGTCTAAGTGTAGTGTATTGAGCTTTTTCAGGAAAACGTCTGTAAATTTAATTGTAAGATTGGGGATGTTTACATAAAATGTCATAACTCAATTAAGGATTTGGGCGTAGTTTTTGACCATGAACTTAATTTTTCACTCCAGGTAGCTCAAAAGGTGATTCAGGAGCGTACGGTTTTATTGTGAGAAACTGCAGAAGCTTCAGCCGCCCAAAGTAACTGTTGGTCTTATATTCATTCCATATATTAAATCGAAATTGGAATATGCATCGTTATTTTGGAACCCAATTTACAACTGCTATATTGATTCTCGTGAGCATATTCAGAGAAAGTCTCTCAAATGTTTATCTTTCAAAGTTGATGATGAATATCCTGAGCAGGGTATATCTGAAAGTTTGTTATTGTCTAGGTTTCAAATGCAGTCTTTAGAGCTGAGAAAGAAGTATGCGTCAATTATTTTCTTCATAATCTGCTGCATAATCAAACTGATGCTCTTGAGATTGTAGCTCAACTAAACTTTAGTGTCCCATATACTACTCAAACTCGTACCATTAAAGCCTTTTATTGTGACTGGGCTCGCACAAATTTATTTTTGAAACCACCCAAATATGGAATGTATGGAACTTTCAATGCCATATCTAGTTATTGTGATACACAACTAACAATTTCGACAGCACTCTGGGTGTAGCTAGGAATAACTTATATAATTTATGATATGTTTCTCACTTGAGTGAAATATGTTTTTGTTTATTTTCCTTGTTTGTTCTTCCCTTTAGATGGAATCACCTGCTTTTTGTATGTTTTCTATTTGTGTTAGTTAGTTTATGTTTTCTTAGGATGGTCCTGTAAATGCTTTCCTTAACTTTTGGATGCTATTTATTATTATTATTTATTCGCATTCGATGAATACACTAAAAAAGGGAGTCAGTCTGCTTCACCCTATTGGCTTTTTTAGTACAGATACATATACTCAAAGGGAATAGAAAATATGGTTTAGACTTTTTGAAATGTTCTCGAAGCTAAAACACGCTACATTAAATATAATTTATTTATACATTATTCAGTTAAAAAAAAGATTCCATGCGTAAAAATGCCAAGCGGATGGGCCAAAAATCCTCCAATTTGTTTTCTTTGATTCGTTTCACGTTCGTCTAAGAAGACCTCAAAACACCCAGTGTAAAACTGCCACTTTGATGTGTAGGCTACAAAGGATAGATTCAATAATTTCTAAGTAACAAATGACGTGTCAACAATTATTTTGACATTAAAATTTTTGACTTTCATTTCATATTAAAACCCATCATAAAAAAATATTACCTAAATTTCTGTGTTAAAAGTCTTTTTTACCCTATACTTTCAAAATCTGGCCGAAAATAATGAAATGGGCGAATCGAATGCCATCGTCGGGCAGACAGTGGCTGTGGGATCAGGAAGATGTATGAGCATTCAAGCCATGCAAGCTCTTTTTGAGCTTAAGGAGAACAACCAGCTGTGTGACGCTACGATTGTTTTGGACGATGGCGCAGCAATACCGGTACACAGAGCCATTTTATGTGCGTGTAGTTCATATTTCAGGCAAGTATTCATATTTTTTAGCAATCAAAGCTATACTATGTTTCCACATTTGCGAGGAAAGTCTTAAATTGAAGTATATACAGTTCGTAGGACATCTGTTGTTTCCTTCGTAGTATGAACCAGTTCAAAGAGCCAATATAAGATGTAAAAATCTGTATAAAGAGTAATCACATTTTGGTTATTCAGTCAGTCAAGATTTTCATATTCAAAATGAAAATCTTTATTATCCTGAGAGACGTTACGATGTCCTATGTATGAATAGGATTCGTCAAAATAAAAACTGATAAAGCGACAAAACAAACAAGACAAACACACAAATAAGTCATAAAATAACAAAATCGGAGAGCATAATAACATTTAATCACAAAAAATTATGTCAGTTTTGCCATAAAATCATGTATCACACTCTTTAATATGATTTGGTAGCCATTTGAAAATTCGTGGAGGTATTTCCGGAGATCTGACGCCGATCTTATACTTGGTAAAACACACATTTAAGTTTCCAGCTTGTCTGGTGGAGTACGAGTTAAAATTGTTTAAAACCCTATTTTTGTGAATAAAAGTATAGATACCAATTTTGTATAAAAATAAGGATGGTAAAGTTAAAATCTTAAGATGCTTAAAAATATTCTCACAAGAATGACTACTACCGGCTCCAATCATACATCTAACCACTCTTTTCTGGGCCAAAAATACTGGACATTTGTGTTCAAACCCCAGCACTATGCTTCTGTGCATGTCTCAGTCGTGTCTCAACATGAGCATAGTAATAAACAGAAACTATCTGTGCTTCAGTAAGGACCGTTCCCAAATTTTTTATCAGATATGATTGGGGATTTATCTTTGAAGTAATTTTTAATGCCATACGTCTCTTCTGGATGTTATGAAATTACACAACTGATGCTTTCTCTGAATTTTGGAAGAGCGGATTGCTGCTAAACCACTTGTTAATATTTTGCAGTAAAACTCCACAATCTCTCTTTAAGATAGCCTCAGACCTATTAGCGATAACCATTGAGGTATCACCTGGATATAAAATGAATCGAACTTCAGGGGAACAGTAGTCAAGGTCATTTAAGTATGGATTGAATAGCACAGGTCTTAGAATACAGCCCTGATCCCATGTCGAACTTAATAGGCGTATTCAGACCACTATCGTCGATACTCACAAACTGATACCTATTTTCTGAAAAGACCTTATCCAATGATATGGTAGACTTTGACATTTTCTGCAACAGCACCTCATGACTGACGCAGTCCTGTTGAAATTACAAAAGATCCCAACAGGGCTCTCGCCCGCTTTAATAATTTTAACCTTTAACCACCGTAGTGCAGAAAGTGCAACGTCAGTAACGTAGTGTGTTCTCAGTGACCGCACATTACTAACAATGTCACTTACAAAAAATGAAACATTTTGCGTGTTGTAAATATTAACGGTGAGTAGAATGAGGCTTGAAACCAAACATAACATATAATTTTTACCATACTTCATTTAAAAAAATAAAAACGGCGAACATTTCGACATATTTTTACACAAATTCCTTATCTTGGTTAGCTATAAAACAAAATACAATAATCTATGCGAAATTAGTAACAGATTCTAAAATATGAATAAACTGTCAACTGAGACATAAATTATTTTGAGTAATAACTTGAAAGGTATAAAAAAATACAAGGGGTGGAGGCGATGATTGTGTTTACAATTTTTACAAATTTTTGACGCACGTTCCAAGCAAGTAGGCTTATGGCATATTTTACATAAATAATAAGATGGAGTCTTGCGAATTGGTGGAAAAGAATTTTTAGAAAGTCTGCTTTTTCAATTTTTGTGCTATTTTTGAACGACTGATGAACATGTGCATTTACACCACAAATATCAAGTAACTACGGTCACATTGCATTCTGGTCGGTAGTCTACGATCGTGCAAAGAATATTCACTTTCCAGCTTTTGAATTATGCCACGTATAGCGAGCTGAGACGGTGCGCCATTACGACCATATTTAGCGCGAAATGTTCTTTGGGTAGCCACAAAACTTTGATAGAATATTCGGACGATTTCCTAACTGCCTTACTGAACACAAAATAACTCAGCTGTCAGAAAATAGATAGCTAAGATGGCGGCAGTGAGCTGTCAAAATCCTATAATCCCTATTGGGAAACCCTGTAGTATAATTCCGATTCATTCTTGAGGATCTGTCCTGCCAAAAATAAGCCACAAAGTTGACAGGAAATCACACTGGCTATACCAAAAACTTAACAGATATAGTAACATAGACGATGTAGACCAGTCGCTGTGACCGCTCTGTAACTTTTGTCGTTTTTTCATTGTAAACCGATAAAAGTGCCATCTCCAACTTTTAGCGACAAATTGACCACGTGGTCACTTGAAGGTAGCGAGGATATTGCCTGATTATATTGAAGTGGGAGTAAAATATATAGAAATAAATATGTGCTGCGGTCTCAGTGACCGCACTATGGCGGTTAAGGATTAACAAGAGTTCCGTAAAAGTTGTGAATTAGTATTGTTTCTTCAGAAATACCGGACTTGGGGTACAGTTTTTGCTGTAAGCTTAAGAATTCTTGACAATCTGTGTTCGACTTAAATCATAATTGTTCAATGGTATTTGTGATCTTCCGCTTCGAAAGTCTCCATAACTTTGAGAATGTCGACAGGCTTCACCATGTCACGATCAGTTTTCAGGTGATTCAAATTATCAAATATAATTATAAATTTTCCTTTTCTAAACGCTCAGAACTTATAATTTTGTTTTTGTCCAAAAGTTGTAATACCCCATTTTGTATTGATTATACCCGACAATGCAGATACGGATCTGTAATTTGATTTTTCCACTCTGAAACTGGTTTTGTAAAAGGGAGTGGTAACCATAGTTTTAAATGCATGAGGACAATTTTCAGATTGGAAACAATTTATGACATAAGAAGGCTGTTCGGCTAAATCGTTCGCAATTATTTTTAAGTGATCAGCCTTGATACCAGGACTTTTTTGCCTTTAAGTCATAATACAGCTCCTTGTACTTCATGCAAGATACATTACCATTACGTATAATTAGTAAAAAATTAAATATTGCTTCTTAAGCTAAGGTATTAATTTCAACATCTGAGGATCAATAAAATATAAAGGAAATTCAAAATTTATAATTTAAAGCATGTATGTTATTTTGAATTTGATCAATTATTGGTATAACAATGACTTGGATTTTGTTTTTATTTCAGGGCACGATTCACCACCATGCTGCAAAGCGGGCATAAGAGTAGGGTTCACTTACCTGGAGTTACTTCAGACATGCTCCAGAAGCTCTTAGTATATGTTTATTTAAGAAAGATAGATATTACAGAGGAGAACGTGTATTCTTTATTAATTACGGCCGATTACTTAAGCATTCTTGGGGTGGTGCAACTATGCTGCAAGTTTCTGGAAGATAATCTCAGTCCGAAGAACTGCATCGGAGTGCTGCGATTTGCGAGGAATCACTTTTGTCTGGAGTTGGGTAATAACGTTTGGACATACATAATGAGAAATTTTACTCAGATATCTACGGACAGCAATGAAATATTGAATCTGAATCTGGCAGAGATTCAGGAAATCATCAATGCAGATCACCTCAATGTGAAGAGCGAGGAAACTGTTTGGGAGACCATTCTCAGGTGCGTAAAACACAACAAAATAGGAACAATATAGGCCGAATTGAATTACCTACATCTTCTTCACATCTGACGGAAGCATAACATCCACGGCAGAAGAAGCGTTACATACAACAGAGCATGGAAAGGTTTATTACGACACTAATTACGGCATGTATGTGTTGTAGGCAAAATATTTATTATCACCTCCAAAATTCTTTTTTGAAAATTACCCTCTAGGCTTAAAGTACGTCACGTTTATGTGACTTTTACTTCCTACGCCAGGCGCCGGAGAGGAATTATTGTAATAACGAAAAATATCAAAAATGAGGTATTATGCTTTTTGCATGTTACATCACGAAAAACCATGTCACTCATTTCCATCGGACAGTCTGTCTGTCCCTCCTCTAATCTTTAACCTCGCTATAACTTGGAACGTACCTATCTGATTTGGATGAAATTTTTCCGCAATTTAAGTAGGTATATAAAATCGCTCAAAGTCTCATTTTTTACCTTGGTATACGTATAAGTCTCCAGCCGCGTTAATTCTACGAACTCATTAGTCATATTCCACTCGTCATAGACTTCGCTGTCCGTTCGTCCTTAAAACAGAATGATGGAGAAATACTGCCGAGCCTCGCGAGTCGATAATAAGTGCTTCGCGCTCCGGCAGATGCATGTGTGTAGCAGTCAGTCGCCGCTGTTCGACTGCTGTGGATATGTAGCATCGGTTGTCAGCTAGACAAGATGTACTCTTAGCTTCGATCATGTGAGTTCAAAAAAATGTTTCTCAGGGGAAGGCGTAAGACCATCTATCGGCAAGAGATAACTTTGTCTGAAAGCGTACCTGCCTCCAAAAGTCTTTGAAGTGCGAGGTTGAGAATATTTCTCCAAGGAGCCAATTCCTAAGGAGCCTGTTTGGCTAACCTGTATGTAGCTTACTTTTTTTATTCGGAGGGGTTATTTTTTGTCGCCAACCTACAAGTACGTATTGTAATCACAAAAAAAATCGAAATTCAAACATTGTATTTCTCGGATGCAATGAAAATGAATAAAAAAATAAAAAGCACTTAAACTTGGTTTTTTGGCATTTCAGTGAAATTTTCTTAGTGGTGAAAGACTAGAGGGTGGGGGGTGGTGGGTTGTAGGAGGAGAGAGAGGGTGTATCACAACTTTCTCATGTTAGTTTATTAATACACTTTTTTTAATAATAATAATAATAAGGCCTTTATAAGATGCAGTGAGGCGAAGTTTAGCCAGACGGCTACTCTTACACTCAACCCCACAACAGAAAAAAAAGAACACTTAAACACATAAACAAAGTAATAACATACAAAAAAATACAGTTCATAAGCATGACAACATTGACTGCACGAGACAAATGCAGATAGTGTTGTGAGAGTTTAAAATTTGAAACAGAAATGGTAGAAAATAGTCCAAAAAAGCACATGAACACAAGAAAAACTGAACTAAATGGACTCAAGCAGGTGACTTCATTAATTTATTAAAAGAAGCAACCTGTTTGGATCGATAGCCACTGTTGACTGCATTGTAATATTTGACAGCATTATAGGTGTAACCTCTTTCAAAGACCGAGGTATTGTGAGGATGCATGTTAAAATTAGCATTAAATCTAAGAGCTCTGGTAACAAAACTACCACGGGGAACTAATTTGCTAGCAAGGTAAGCTGGTATGTTATATAATAGAACTTTATGCGTGAAGACGGTCAAAAGATATAAAAATAACTTATCAATTCGCAACCAGTTGAGTGCTTTGATTTTATCTGAGACGCGACTAAACTTGCGCAATCCAAAAATAAACCTACAACAGCTGTTCTGAATTATCTGGAGTTTCCTTTTGTGGACGTAGTCTAAACATGGGTAATAAAGAACAAGAGAATAAGAAATGACCGACAACATAAGACTTTCGGCGAGCTTTTTCCGGGTTTTAAAATTCAGGATAAATCAATTAGAATAGAGGAGTTTCAAACGCATATCAGTTACTCTAGATAAGAAAGAGACATGCCGATCGAGTCTCATATTTAAGTCAAGGGTAACACCGAGATTCTTGGCGTAATCCACAAAAGGGATGAGTGTCATCCAAAACAACACAAATCCTCTGCTTCATTTCACAGTAGGAGTTCTTCGAACAGTACAACATTGCAGTAGTTTTATTAGGATTGATCTTCTAGCAGTGTTTGTTACAGTAATCACTGATGTTAGCCAAATCTAAATTAACTTTAAAAGAAACTTCATCAACCTTTGATGGATCGAAACCAAACACTAAGTGAGTATCATCTGCATAAGTTTGCATACAACAGTGAACTAAGCGGTCTTGCAGATCGATCGTACAAATCAGATATAGTAAGGGACCTAATACTGAACCCTGTGGAACTCCTGAAGGAACTGGCTCAGTGGAGGAAATTCCCTGATCAGTTTTCACTGTTTGTTGACGATTTAGCAAGTATGACTCAAAGAACCTTAGAACTATATCTGACATTCCATAATGAGATAACTTACTCAGTAGTATCTGGTGATTGACCATGTCAAAGGCTTTCGAGAAATCTAACAGTACCAAGACGGTGTTGATGTGATTATCTAAATTGTGAATGATAGAATCAGCAAGATGTAATAAAGACGAACTAGTGCTGTAACCAGCTCTGAAACCTGACTGATGTAGAGGAAATGAGTGATTTTGTTCGAAAAACTCCACTAGTTGTGGGTAGACAGCTTTTTCGAGTATTTTTGATAGAAGGCATAATAAGGTAATTGGCCTGAGATCCGAATATTGTTCTGGATGATTAGTTTTAGCTATAATAATAATACCATTTTCCCAACTAGCAGGAAAGTAACCTGTTTCATCACAGACATTAATAATGTGAGTTATATGCTCTATGGTATCAGGCAAACATAAGCAAACAATATTTAATGTTAGACTATCAGAGCCACATGCCGTAGACTTAATGTGAGAGATTATATTGACGATGTCTTGCTGCGTAAGGAGTTTAAAAGCAAACAAAGGTGCATCCGGTGTATGGCGTCTATCGCTATAAGAGTTAGAGACACTATCAATCAAATTTGGATCAGCTGCAGCTGTCTGGAAAATTGAAAGGAAATAATTATTTAAAATGTTAGGCTCAAGGAGACTGGGAGGTATCGCCATTGGTTCTGGGCTACCACATTCATCCTCCTCAGGTGTTTCCAAACTTGACTAGAGTTAAGATTCCCGAAACCTGACATATACTAAGTGACATATAAATCCGAACACCCAGTTTAAATGGTTTTATTTTAATAAAATTTTGTATAAGTACTTAATGAAGCATAATAAGTAAATGATAAACATTTAAAAATGATTGCACTGCTTTAAAGCCCTTTGATCTTTAATAATCTGTGGATGCACCCTGATGTGCTACGCATTCTCCAACGCGCCTAGGCATGCTTCTGATCAGGTGGTCAATGCCCTCCTGTGGTATCTCATTCCAGGCAACCACCAACTCCTCTCGAAGTGCTTCTAGAGTCTGAGGAGGACGTTGCAACTTGAGCAATCTCCTACCCATCATATCCCACACGTGCTCAATTGGGGATAAGTCGGGAGATCTTGGTGGCCATGGTAACAATGTGACATCATTATGATGAAAGAAGTCTATTGTGACTCTTGCAGCATGTGGTCGGGCATTATCTTGTTGGAAAGGTGGATCTGCCAGGGTGTCAAGATAGGGTAAAAGATGGGCTTCTAGAACTTCGTGGATATAACGCTGCGCGTTCATGGTACCTCTGATGAAGATTAAAGGTGACCTGGAACCATAAGCTACAGCACCCCAAACCATAACTCCAACAGTGTGATGAACATGTCTTTCAACAAAAAACTGTGGATTCCTCCTTTCACCACGTCGCCTTCTAACCCTGGCACGACCATCGTGCATGCCTAAACAAAATCGAGACTCGTCACTAAAGACAATACTGTTCCAGTCCTGATCCCAGAGTGACCGTTGTCTGCACCACTCAAGGCGATTACGTCGGTGATCTCGAGTTAAAGGGAGGACCCCGTGTAGCCGGTATGAAAACAAGCCAAAACTTCTCATTCGTCGGTAAACACTTCGCATGCCAATAGGTCAATGGACCTGGTAGTGGAGAAACGGTCCCTTAAGGCCAATAATCTTAGGCGGCGATCTTCACGGTCTGTTGTTCTACGGCGGCGTCCAGTGCCCCTTGCTCTTTGCGTACGGCCTTCTCGAAGCCATGCCTGACAACACCTAACCACAGTGTCTACACTTCTTTGCACTCTAACTGCAATTGCCCGAAAAGAAAGTCCAGCTTCCCGAAGTCCCACTATACGGCCCCTATCAAACTCACTAAGTTGACGAAATCGTACAGGTCTCCGTACTCTAGGCATCGTAACCGATCGTAAAGGATGTCAAGAACCAAACTCTGCCAACTTTGATTCTTTACTGCGGCTGAAATATTCATTTTTAGAGCGATAGTGAATTAAAAAAAAGCAGTATAAAAACCGGAATGTCCAACTGATAAGGCTGAAAATTTTTTCACTTGTTATTTACAGTAAGATAAATACATTCACCAACTTTTATTAAAATAAAACCATTTAAACTGGGTGTTCGGATTTATATGTCACTTAGTATATATGCTTTTTTCTCTCTTCTAAGCGATGCAAGGGCATAATTTTTCAAATCTTTGTAACTGGCCCAATTCTGATCAGATCTGCTATGCTGATAGACAGCAAATGCCTCGTCTCTGAGTTGAAATATCATATATCATATATCATCATCAAGTTAGGAGTGAGCCAGGGCGCAGCAGGTTTTGTGACACGTAACCCGTTAACTCTAATCACCTTTTAGACATATTTCACACCTCATAGAGCTCGTACATATGTCCTTAGAACTTGAAACAATAGCAGGCGAATCCTCTGTTGATCGCACTTGCGTCAGGGGGTTATAAATATCGCGTAAATTTCGTGCTAAATTTCGTACAAAACTTTGTGCTAAATTTCATACAAAGTTAAGTATAGTGTCAAACAGCATTTAGTACATAATTTTACATGAACAAATTTAGTGCTGAATTTTGTAGAAATAATAATATCATACTAAAAGTGCGCAGACGACTGCTGCGCATATGGAGCAGTACAATGACTGATACAATCTCAAACACTTCCAGTAGAGTTGATGTTGTCAGTTGTGTTCATCAGTTTCGCAAAACTACCCTGCGTATCGTGTGCTACTTATAGATTGAAAACTTAAACGATGTCATGATCAAACGAGCAGTGTGGCATATTACTAAACGAGTATGAGAAATATGATTGTTTATATGCTGTAAAAAGCAAGGCCTATAAAAACTGAAGAGCCAAATAAACTGCGTTAGACAAAATTATGATGACTTGAGAACCAATTAGGCTTACAAGCAAGTGGATCCTGCACTAGAATTTTTTATTCCATATCTGGAGCCCATACATGCCCTGGTCCCTCTCCCTGACCAATTTTCGGCACCAAATTATTTTACGGTTTCGTTTACTTCGTTTTCATATAATATATACGAATTGCGGGATCGCTCCATTTTCTACAATTTTCTATTCGTTTAAAAATAAAGGAATAAAGTAGCAATCGCGATAGTTATAGTTTTTTGCTACCAACTGCGCATAATTTCGTACGAAATTTAGTACAAAAATTTCATTACGTGTCAGACAGGATTGTAATTTGTATACAATTTGGGAATTAAATTCAGTAACGAACTTTCTTACAAAATTTGGTACTGAATTTAGCACAAAATTTCGTATCGCGACAGACGGCTATACAGCTGTAATCTAAGATTTTTTTTCATGAAAAGTCCGAATAGTGCATTACTAATTCTGACAAAACCTCCGTCTTTTTAATGTCACTGCACTACATAGAAAATAGTACTAGAATTTGTTTCGCACTTTTTTAAATTTTAGTGTTATTTTTTTTGTCAAAAGGGGGCATGTCTATCCCTATAAGGTTAAACGTACATCTATTATAGATATTTATATGGTAGCTTAGTAAACAATGCGGGTCTGTATTTCCGCAATGATGGCTGATTGTCTACTTTATGTCTTTACGTAACATTTGGCCTTATTTAGATGATTGCTCATCTATACGAAATACTTAGGTACAAGTGAATTTCGCTGTTCATCTGTTGACAGTAACTTATCAATGTTTCAGCCATTTTGTTAAATATTTGTTTTTGAAAGGCAATACGCCTACGCAAATAAAAGATGAGTTGGATTTTGTGTATGAGCACTCTGCACCATCATTTACTACAGTCAAAAATTTTGGGCCGCTGAAGGTGGCCGTAAGAGCTTGGGAGACGATGAACATTCGAGACGTCCAAAAACATCGCCAAAGTTCATCGAATGGTGATAGACGACCGCCGAATTAAAGTGAGAGAGATAGCAGAGATTATGAATATGTCAAGAACGTGTTTATCACAAATTGGATGGGAGATATATCCGCGCGTTGAGTGCCGTGTTTGCACACCTTAGACCAAAAACGTGTTTGAATGAACATTTCCAACGTTCTGTTGGAGGAATTTAGGCACAATAAATCTGAGTTTTGGCACCGATTAATAACTGTAGATCAAACATGGATACACCATTATATGCCCGAAACAAAATACAGTCCAAAAAGTGCACGGCAAAGGGGGAACCTGCTCAAAAAAAACAAAAACTGTTTTTTTGGCTTTGAAAGCGATGGCGACTATTTTTTGTCATAGAGTTATTTTAATCGATTAACTTCAAAAAGGAGAAACCACTACAGAAACAAACTACGCATCATTACTTGACAAGCTGAAGGCAGAGCTTGCGAAGAAACGGAATTGGCAGAAAAAGAAAATCCTGTTTCACCGTCTCACACCTCAGCCTTTGCCATGGCGAAAAATCCACGGATCACGGTTTGAACTGCTTGGCCGTCGGCCTTAATCACCAGATCTAGCTCCAAGCGACTTCTTTTTGCTCCCTCATCTAAAAATTGCGCTCGGAGGATAGAGATTTTCATCAAATGAAGAGACAGTCACCATCCTGAACAACTATTTTGCAGAGAAAACCACCGAGTAGTATTTGGACGGGTTACAGAGATGCGATCATCGCTCGAAGAAACGTGTAAAGTTACATGTTGAAAAATAAAAAAAAAAAACAGAACAAATTAATGTCTTGCACCTTTGTTAGATCGGAGACTTTTCAGACCACCCTCGTACTTTATAAATATGTATTAGCGTACCATAATTGGAGACCTAAGCTTGTCATTTGTCATTTCCTGCAGGTGGATCGACTATGATACCACCGCTAGAAAGAAGCATATTGTGGCCTTGATGAAGTGCATAAGGCTGGGACTGCTGGATACACAGTTTTTCCTAGAAAGAGTCAAGGAACATCCCTACGTATCCAGCAGCGAGGAGAGTAGGCCAATGATCATAGAAACGCTGAAGTTCCTGTATGACTTAGAAATGATCACCCATAGGTAAGGTTTTTTTAAATTCTATCACGGAAGTTAGGCTGAAAAAGTAATCAAGTGGTTATTCCATTTGTAAATAATTTCAATGAATTTTTGTCTGCTTTACACGAATTAACACTTCAAGGTGTAATGCGTCTGTAGCCACGGTCGGTTCTATAACAGACTTGTCCCTGACACGGTTGTCAATCACCTCTTAGTATTTTCTACGAAGCATTGCAAGCCGAGTTGTAATTATTAGAATTTATTGGAGTGTTAACTTTGTCACATGCAGTAAATATTTCTTTCTCAGATCTGTCAATCGCAGTAAACATATTTTTTATATTGTCGCAGGAAAAAGTGGTTGAAACCTGTCTCTTCGAATCATCATTTAATACCGTCTAGGTGTCTGTCTCAGTTGTTACAGTGTGGTTTTGCAGTAGTTCACAACGTCTAACTTACGGTTTGTTCATACAGTGATCGGTGACTGTCGGTGACAGTGTCTGGCATCCAGCCTTGTAAATTCTGTCTATATAGCATAGCAGAATGATCGGAATTTATGTCCCGCGATCTTGGACACGATCACCTTCAGGTTGGTGATAACTGAACGAACAGAGCTTTAAATGGTGTGGACGAGATAGTAAAAAAATATATCATTTTTATAAAGATCGAAAGAAACGTTATAGATAAATATGCGTTATTGTCTGAAGAATACAATCACTCTTAATGATAAATCTAACTTAAAACTAAACTATACTAAGTGACATATAAATCCGAACACCCAGTTTATATGGTTTTATTTTAATAAAAGTTGGTGAATGTATTTATCTTACTGTAAATAACAAGTGAAAAAATTATCAGCCTTATCAGTTGGACATTCCGGTTTTTATACTCCTTTTTTTTAATTCAATATCGCTCTAAAAATGAATATTTCAGCCGCAGTAAAGAATCAACGTTGGCGGATTTTGGTTCTTGACATCCTTTACGATCGGTTACGATGCCTAGAGTACGGAGACCTGTACGATTTCGTCAACTTAGTGAGTTTGATAGGGGCCGTATAGTGGGACTTCGGGAAGCTGGACTTTCTTTTCGGGCAATTGCAGTTAGAGTGCAAAGAATTGTAGACACTGTGGTTAGGTGTTGTCAGGCATGGCTTCGAGAAGGCCGTACACAAAGAGCAAGGGGCACTGGACGCCGCCGTAGAACAACAGACCGTGAAGATCGCCGCCTAAGATTATTGGCCTTAAGGGACCGTTTCTCCACTACCAGGTCCATTGCAAATGAATGGTTTGCAGAACACGGAAGACCTATTGGCATGCGAAGTGTTTACCGACGAATGAGAAGTTTTGGCTTGTTTTCATACCGGCCACACTGGGTCCTCCCTTTAACTCGAGAACACCGACGTAATCGCCTTGAGTGGTGCAGACAACGGACACTCTGGGATCAGGAATGGAACAGTATTGTCTTTAGTGACGAGTCTCGATTTTGTTTAGGCATGCACGATGGTCGTGCCAGGGTTAGAAGGCGACGTGATGAAAGGAGGAATCCACAGTTTTTTGTTGAAAGACATGTTCATCACACTGTTGGAGTTATGCTTTGGGGTGCTATAGCTTATGGTTCCAGGTCACCTTTAATCTTCATCAGAGGTAACATGAACGCGCAGCGTTATATCCACGAAGTTCTATAACCCCATCTTTTACCCTATCTTGAAACCCTGGCAGATCCAACTTTCCAACAAGATAATGCCCGACCACATGTTGCAAGAGTCACAATAGACTTCTTTCAACATAATGATGTTACAATGTTACCATGGCCACCAAGATCTCACGACTTATCCCCAATTGAGCACGTGTGGGATATGATGGGTAGGAGATTGTTCAATTTGCAACGTCCTCCTCAGACTCTAGAAGCACTTCGAGAGGAGTTGGTGGTTGCCTGGAATGAGATACCACAGGAGGACATTGACCACCTGATCAGAAGCATGCCTAGGCGCGTTGGAGAATGCGTAGCACATCAGGGTGCATCCACACATTATTAAAGGTCAAAGGGCTTTAAAGCAGTGCAATCATTTTGAAATTTTTATCATTTACTTACTGTGCTTCATTAAGTACTTATACAAAATTTTATCAAAATAAAACGATTTAAACTGGGTGTTCGGATTTATATGTCACTTAGTATATAACATGATTACGAGTACATATGTGGAGCTCACACATGGTATAATTCGATTTACATATTAGGAAGGTTTTAAGTTCACTGCGGAATATCTTTAAATTGATAGTTCTTTCGAAAGCATCACGGAGATATTATGCAAGTTTTCAGATCATTATAAATTATTAAGTCTTTCAATAGTGTTGATTTAGGTACTACTAATTTGAGATCTTGTTTTCGTCTAACGCTAACGTATATTTAATATTTCAAATTTAGGTTTATCTTGAAACATAAAACTTGTTGCTTCTAAAATAATGATACGACATTCATGATTTCAAGATTTAGAAATAAACATCTGCGTGTTGCTCTAGGATTGCTTTTAGTTATTGTATATCTAAAAATTCGGTTTTGCAGAATAAGCGCCTTTTTAAGCATTTTTGGGAACATTACACACCAAAAGGGAATGCTATATCTGAATCTCAAACTAACTGCTTAAGGCTCTACTTTTCCCTACGTTGTAACTGATTGTTCTTATAATAAAGGAAATCTTTGCTAGTTGAGTAATAATTTGTCTAGATGATTAGCAAAATCTAACTTATGGTCAACGGTCAGTCTCAAAAATTTTATGGTGTCTGTTTTGTGTATCATCTCATCAAATAACTCAAGAGAGCATTTAAATGTTATATTTTTTTGGCTTACTAACATTGAAGGTTGAGTAAATGTTGTCGCACCATTTTTGATTGATTGTATATCATTATCAATGTTTGTCACAATTTCATTTATAACTGAGTCTTTCCAAAGTATTGTGGTATCGTCAGCAAAAACTATGAGCTTACCATTATTTTTCAGTTTATTAAATCATTGATACAGACTAAAATTATGATCAAACCTACTACTGATCCTTGAGATACCGCTGGCTTTATAGTTAATTTCTTTGAAATGTCTCGATAATTCTACAATTTTAGATCGATTATTCAAATATGTTTCAAACTAATTGAGTGAAGTTCCAGTGAAACCATATTTATTTAATTTTTTTACTAGCGTATCATGGCTTACACAGTCAAAAGCTTTGGAAAGTCATAAAAAAGCAATTAAAAGGTTGAAGTGGAATTTTTTGTTTTTGAAACATAAATTGGTTGGCGTTTTGAAAATCTCTTGATCTAGTTTTAACTATTTTTTCTATTAGATATGCTGATTAATCTTATGGGTCTATAATTTTCTGGTATGTCGCTTCCATTTCCAAACAAGACATTGAAAAGAGAAGTGGACCTGTTAGAGAGAACGCGCCAAGACATTATTGTTTGGCAGTATTTCTACCTACCAACCTAGCTTGATGCGTAGATTCTCTTCTGTCAGTGCACCTGTTCAAGTCAAATTAATTCTGACAATTATGTAAAAAATCGTTAGAATACGTACACGTGATGTGAATAACTTTTCAGATAAGCGCATCCGTAACAGTGTGATATGTTTAAGAACTTACAGGTGGTGTTTCACAGAACTGAATGTTGTGAACATTTTTGCAAAATATTTCAGTCAACTGATAAGGTGCATGCATGGCAGATTTGAATACAGAACAATGATTTTTGGTTTTAAATGTTGTAAATAACATTCATAAGTATTTCTCAAGTTACGTATTTCTTTATGTAGACAAATCGCGGATGGCGTGCGAACCATCGAATCAGATTGGTGCTTAGGTTACGTTACCGGGGTAAAAATCCGAAAAACTGACTAACCGTTGTTTGTTGAATACAATCCAATAAGCATAAAATTGAAAATCGAGCATCGAGCCGATTATATTTATCGAGATTATTGTCCTTTTCACGTTTTTTGTCTGTCAAGTGACATTGTTATGAGAAATAAGTAAACAAATTGATTAACTGTACTATATAGAGAGCTTAGCTTCCCTAATGGAGACTGCATACTTCAGAAGCCGATCCCCCAAATAGCTGCTTGTTGCTCTTGAATAAACACATGAATTGGGTAATAGAAGACCGTTGTTTTCTTTCACTCTTCCAAAATCTCCAATAAAATTAACACAATGTCGACATCATAGTTGTATCATCATGCCTTGTTATGCTTTATATTGAAGATTAACAAACGGTGACTTCGCACGCTCGTGCCAAGCAAGCTGTCATACTAACAAGGACAAGCATAAGCGTAGAATACTCATCTCTTAATAAAAAAAATTGTAAGGCGGCGATAAATATCCTCAAATCGTATCTCTGTGTGCTTACACAAACTAGCGTTCGCGCATATACGGGGTGGCGCATCCTTGTGTGGACGGAATATTACTAATAAACAAATACATTTTGGCAAAATCTATTTATGGGATGTGTTATACATGACATTTGAGGGCATATTTCTAAAATATCGCCCATTATGCAGGGTGTCCCAATTTCGACCTACGTATCAAAGTAGTGATTTTTCAAATGGAATGCACCAACTTTTATTACATATTTGGATACCCCTATGCAAAAGAAGAAAATTGATATCACATACTATGGGATTTTGGTAATTAGCTACTGAGATATACGGTGTTTTGTCTAGAAAACCCCCCACTTCAACAACCCTGCAGTCCGCCATTTTGAAATTAGGAGTGCTGAATTTTATATCAAAGAAAACTTACACACCTCAGCTTTTATCTTCTTTGTTACTTTTTCGCATTTTAATTTTTACTCATACAGGGTGGTCAAAAACGCTAATTGTAGTTTTTCTCAAAAATTTCAAATGCATTACCCTGTATATTTGTGCAGTTTGGATTCAATTTTTATAAGCTTTTTTTGATACTAGACACATAAGGGTTTTTACGGCTGTTTTTTCAGTTATTAGCACGTCTCTTATGGAACGGCTTAATTCACTAAAATATCGCATAATCCTTG